CCTCGCCGCCCGCCCGCCAGCGGCACGCAGCGCGCACGGCGTCGGCGACGACGAACGCCAAGAACGTCGACGTCTTCGTCGCCGTCGCCGCCGCCGCCGCCAACATCGCCGTCGCGGTCGTCGTGGGCGTCTTCGCCGTCGCCGCCGTCGCCGTCGTCGTCTTCGTCGTCGTCGGCGTCGCCGCCGCCGCCGCCAAGCGGGCCCGAAGGGGCGGGTCGGGCGGTCGGGCCCTCACGGGCGGGTCGCGCTGGCGGGACATGGAACTGGGCGCGCGGCGAGGAAGCCTCGGGCGAGAGCACGCCTCCTGATTTCAGAGAGCGCGATCTCCTGGAGCAGATCGCCAGGCAGTCTCGAGCGAGGGTACCTTTCGCAAGGAAGATTGCAAGGATGTCCCACGCGAGATCGCGATGCGTGAAGCAGTTGAGAGGGGGTCGGAGGCGAAAGCGCGATTCCTCATAGGCGAGAGCGCGATTCTCGAGAATGTCAGGAGAGAGAGTGCAATCATTAGAGTACACAACTAAAAGAAGTCTAAAACGAGAGCGCTATTCCTGAATCTGTCCGTTTCGGGGAGGGGTAAGTCTCAGGCGGGAACCGTTGTTCTTGTAGTCTGGCAGGCAGAAAAAGTGCAAGAGACAAAGGGACACTTCAGTTGAGAAAGCGCAGAATGTGCACCCGTCGAGGAGCCACCAGTATTTTTCTGACAAAGCATCCACAACACAAGCATGAACACGAACATCACGTAACCAATCATGATACGAATCACCTTCCGCTCGTAAATATCACTCGTGAGCATATCCGGGGCCTCGCGGGCCGGGCCCCTGGGCCGCGACCCCGTGGATGCAAAGCGTTCTCTCGCGGATGCCCGCACGGAACGCATCCATGCGACGGCGCATTTACGGGATCAAGCCCCGGAATCCAGGCCGCCAGGGCGTGGATGTGAATACGGTCGCCGCTCGTGAGTCACACTTGGAGGTGGCCGGGGGGTCTGAAGTGGATGGGCCCGAGAAAATCGGTCAGGAGGGGTCATGAAACCAAATCCGGTCAAACTCGGTCCCTGGACTGCAGATTTTCCCCCCGAATCCGTTTCTGACAGTCCCGACGCCCGAAAACGGCCCCCAGAGGCACCCCCAAAAAACCTTCTCGAACTCCCGCTTCTTGCTGGCAGGGACCAGAGCTGGGCCACCTCAGACTGAAGGGCAACGATAACGGGGGACTGGCATAGGGGAGGGGAAATCGGCCTGAAACTGGCGATACATCGCCGATAGATCGGTGAAAGGCTCCCGATAGCAAAACCGCAAGTTCCTGGGCAGGTTGGAGCTATCAGGCTATCAGGCGCCTATCGGCGGCGATCAATAGGCGATTGGGGTTCGATGCATCCCCCCCTATGCCTATCCCTCCCTGTGGTTGCCCCTGACAGACCCCCACCCAGCTCCAAAATCACACCACCACACATCATCCCCCAGCGCGCCGCTGGCGCCTGCTCACCCCGGGCCAACGCAATCCCAGGCCCGTCAGGCTCTGCAGGATCCTCCAAGATTCTGCAGTCCTGCGCGCTAGCCGGGGTCAATGCAACCCTGGCCCCAAACATGCGACGTCCCGATATTTTCAGGACGGGGTCCCATGGAGGTCCCGACCCGTTCCCCGGGACCCGTTTTCCGTCCCGAGCCGTCTTTTGACGGTCCCGAGACCGAGCGAGGGCGGCCCCCCGAGGCCGAAAATGGCCCAAAAACTCCCGCCCTGATTCGACGCGATCACGCCCGGGGCTGTTGAGGATCCTGCGAGAGCCGGCGCTCTGGCCGACCCCCGTGTGCATGGACCCCCGCCTCAGAGCTCCCGACGACTCCCTCCTGGGCGCCGCGCCGGCCTCGCGAGCGGACGGCCGCCGCGCAGGCAGGGACCAAGAGGAAGCACAGACACCAGCCCCTGGCCAAAGACCATCCTGAGCTGCAGTCAGCCCGTATAGTCAGTGAGGATGCCCGATGAGGACGTAAGGGCCTACTTGGACACCCACCTCGGAGCTCTCTTCGAACTCGAGCGGGCCTCGGCCCACGAAGGAGGCCAACCGAGGAGGCAAGGTTGCGAGGGTACCCTTCCCAGACATGCGACGTCCTGATTTTTTCAAGACGGGACACCTGCAAGTCCCGACCCGTTCCCCGGGATCGGTTTTCCGTGCTGCGTCGTTTTCTTGACGGCCCCGAGGCCCGGCGAGGGCCACCCGAGGCCGGAAATGGCCAGAAACCTCCCGTCCTTTTTAACGACGCGATCATATCTGGTAGCCTTGGGAAGGTTGAGCATTCTTACCTCCTGGCGTGGGGGCATTGGATCAGGAAACCTTCGATGAGGAATCCAGGGTCTGGAGGCCGGTGGAGCTCCAATCGAGGCTTGCCCATAGATATCACCGCCGCACTCATCAGATAAGGAACCCCCTAGGGTCTGAAGCCTCCTGGGCACATTCCTTAACGAACGCCTCCACCGTATGCGGGCTGTCTGCAAGACGGAGACAGGGCGAGGATCACATCCGACGAAGACAGATCGAGAAGGGTGCTTGGCGATCCGACGATCCCGAGGCTGCCGCCCTGCTGCCCCCTCGAGGCCCCCTGGCCTTCTCGCAGAGGCCCTCCGCGACCTTCTGGGGAGCCGTCTCTGCGTCTTTGGGGAAGGCCTACAGTGGAGGCCAGTCCACAAGAACCTTCCACAAGAAACCCAAACCCCGCGACCCCAGGACGTCCACTGATATTTGGTGTGGGGACGTCACGCTTTCCATAGCAAAACCATCGAAGCCCAAGAAACCCAGGGAAGCTGGAAAATGCGGAAGTTGGAAGATGAGTGGAAGTGGAAGTGGCCAGGGCTGGAAACACTGGCAGGGGGTGAGGCGAGCCCGAAAAACGGTAGGGATGCGGTCGCCAGGGCTGGAGCAAAAATGAAGGGAAACTGGCCAGGGCTGGAAAGAGTGGAAGGGCTAGCCCCAGTCACTGTTTCCAGTTCCCATGTCGAAAACTGTTCTTCAGAAGCCTTCTCAAGCTGGCCCTCCAGCCCTGCGGATCTGGCGATCCGCACCGCCCTCGCCCTGCCCGGTCGAGGATGTCTCGGGCGCCGCGGCCTTCTCTCGGAGCCCCCGCGTCTCAGGGCTCCCGCGTCTCCAGCATGCCCCCGCTCGCCGGCGCCTGCAGGCCCCCCCCCGCTCCTCGCACTCCCGCGCGCAGGAGCGCCAACTCTCGGCGTGCGCGTCCCGCTGGCCGCTCGCCCGCTGCTCCTCGAGGGGAGCTGGAGGCGACCGCGAGGAAGCCGCTCGCGCGTCGGCTCGCGGGCGGGGTCGCGTCGGTCGGGTCGCGGGCGGGGTCGGGCGCCGGGTCGCGGGGCGGGTCGCGGGCGGGTGGCGGGGCGGGTGGCGGGTGGGCCGCGAGGCAGGGGGCGTCGAACAACGACAACAAGAACAACAATCATTTTACCCTCATATGCGCGATGCTTCCACACGACGCATGCGACCATTATGATAACCATCCCCCATCCCCATCTTGGGGCGCTCTTGTTCTACAGCGGGGTCCGTTATTCCCATTCCCAGATCTCCCGCCCGATAAGGTCTTGCAAGCACTTCCTCCGAGGAATTTTAACATATCCTGCCTCAAAAACACATGCCCGCGCCCTGCTGCGCCGCTGCGACACCGCCAGTGGCGCCCCAGCCAAGGGTAACGCACAAGGAAATATCGAGCGACAGGATTGCCTCGGTGGGGATGGGGGCTGTCGGCGGCGAGGCAAGGACCTGGCCCCGAATAGAAAAGGAGGAATTCTCGAGCAGGGCCGCTGTTGTTGCTGGGAGCGGTGCCAGTGCTGAAGAAAGTAGGGCGCTAGTCCAGCGTAAAACAAAACGAAGTCTCGAGCGGGAACGCTGGTTTTGTTGGGACGGCGTCTTTCGGCGGCGAGGAGGAACACCGCCTTCAGTAAGAAGGGAAGAAACCTCGAGCGGGAACCGTGGTTTTGTTGGGACGGGGGCTGTCGGCGGCGAGGAACAGCACCGTCCTGAGGAAAAAGGAAGAAAGCCTCGAGCGGGAGCGTTTTTCTTGCTGGGAGCGGCACCAATTCAAAGGAGAGTAGGGCGCCAGCCCAGCGTAGAAGGGAAGGTAGCCTCGGGCGGGAGCACTGGTTTTGTCTGGACGGCGGTTTTCGGCGGCGAGGGGGATCACCGCATTGAGTAAAAAAGGGCAACAATCTCGAGCGGGAGCGTTGTTGTTGCTGGGGGCGGCGCCAATGCTAGAAGGAATAGCGCGCCAGTCCAAGGTACATCGGGAGGAGGTCCCGAGCGGGAGCGCTGGTTTTGTTGGGACTGCGGTTTCGGCGGCGAGGGGGATCACCGCATTGAGTAAAACATGAAGAAGTCTAGAGCGGGAGGGTTGATTTTGCTGGGGGCGGCGCCGATGAGAGAAAGAGTAGCGCGCCAGTCCAAGGTAAAACGGGAGGACGCCTCGAGCGGGAGCGCTGGTTTTGTTGGGACGGCGTCTTTCGGCGGCGAGCAGGAGCACCAGCCCTAAGTAAAAAGGAGGGAGTCTCGAGCGGGAGCGTTGTTGTCGTTTGGGGGCCAGTTGTGGGCCCCCCCCCAGACCGCTCGAGCGTGAGCCTCATTTTCAATGAACATGGAGCCAGTGCCAAGGCAAGAGCGCCAGGGCGCTTGGGGGGGGTCCAACTATATATAAACTGTGTTTAATTAACAATCCAACAACAATACCACCAACGAAACAACAACAACGACAACGACAACAACAACAACAACAACAACAACGACAACAACAACAACAACAACAACAGCAGCAGCAGCAGCAGCAACAACAACAACAACAACAACAACAACAACAACAACAACAACAACAACAACAACAACAACAACAACAACAACAACAACAACAACAACAACAACAACAACAACAACAACAACAACAACAACAACAACAACAACAACAACAACAACAAAACAACAACAACAACAACAAAACAACAACAACAACAACAACAACAACAACAACAACAACAACAACAACAACAACAACAACAACAACAACAACAACAACAACAACAACAACAACAACAACAACAACAACAACAACAACAACAACAATCATCTGAATACTCTTCGCCCATAGCTGCTCGAGTGTCCAATAACGCGTATTCTCCAAACCCTCGATACCCGCCCGCTTCGTCTTCGATCGAACCCCTTTTGGGGGGTATACTTTTCTCCCCTGCAGGCCGGGCCCCGGCACGCGGCGGGGCGGCCGCGGACCGTCGGCCTGGCCAGCGGCAGCGCTGATCGGCGGGGCGGCCGCGGACCGTCGACCCGACCCCAAGAGGGACGGACAGGGGACCGACCACGACCACGACGACGACGACGACGACGACCACGACGACGACGACGACGACGGCGGCGACGACGACGGCGGCGACGACGACGAGCGAAAGCGAGAGCGAGAGAACGACAGCAGGGCCACAAGGACACGAAGTAGGCCACGAAGGGCGACAGCGGGGACACGAACGGAATGCGTATGGGGCTCATTTTGAGACTGCTCGCTCTTATCTGCTCGCGTGCCCTTCAAAACGTATATCCGAAACCCTCGGTACCCGTCCTTTTCGACTTCAATCGCACCCCTTTGTGCGTATATCGTCCTTACCTGTCACGTGCATCTAGCGCAGCCCCTATAACAGGAGAAGAGAGGACGGATGCAAGGGGGAGGGAGAAGGATGGAGCACGATACAAGTTAGCAACAGGGGGCTAGGAACAGAAAACACGTGGCAGAACCAACATCCTTTGGACATGAGAATCTAACAACAATCCTAGCCCGAGACCCCCTCTTGAGCCACACACACACACACTTTTTAAACATAAACAGCGATGACGGAGCCCAGTGGTGGACGACACGACAAACGAACGACGGACGACAGACGAGACAACGACGAGACGAACGTCACACACAGAGCCAATGTAAGAGCGCTCGGCCCCATCACTCTGATAAGTCGCCAAAACTCCCCATCAATCGCGCAGCGGCGGACGAGCAGTTGATGCCGACGGGGCGGCTCTGATCCCTTTTTACGCCCACCAGCTGCGAAACTTGAGCGCTCGTCGCCGGATCACCGCGAGGCCCACTTTCGTCGCGCCCGGACCAGTGCCATAACCCTCCTCGCTCGCCCTCAAAGTCGGCCCCCGGACATCGACCAAAACTGCAATGGGAATCGGACCGTGGCGACAAGGACCCCCCCCCCTTCCCCCCGAGGCCCACGCAGGGCGAAGACCGACCAAGAAAACTCGGTCCTCGAAGGTCCGATCCTTGAGCCTCGATCCCCCTCCTTCCTCCTGCTCGCACACGGGGGGGAGAGACGTCCTCGCGTTGCGCGGCCTCCAGCTGGTGCCGCAGCGCGGCGAGCTCCTCGTTGAAGGCGCGCAGCCGGTGCTGATGGTCCAGCTGGGAGCCGATGCTTCGTGCCGCCCAGCGCAGTCCGCGCGGCAAGGCAGCAGAGAGAAGGCCACTTACTGTTGGTCGGCGGCGGTTGGGGCCATCGCACCGCGGTCCAAGCGGCAGCCAGGGACGTGTGGATTAGACACTAAGAAAATAAGGAGGGGGAGGAGGAAGAGGTGGAAGAGGAGGAGGAGGAGGAGGAGCAGGAGGAGGAGGAAGAGGAGGAGAAGGAGGGAGGAGGATGGGGTCACGAGGCTGGGCGGGACGGCACGCGGACACTACCAGGCTGGGGCCCATCTGGAGCCACGAGTCGCCGGGCGGGGCGACGCCACGCGGTAGCCCCCACTGAGACCATAAGTGGTTCCCATGGGGCCACGAAGCACAATGGACGAGGCGACGCCATGCGAACTTTGCTATTGGGGCAGTCGGCGGAGCTCCCTCCGGGGCCACGAAGCATGCGAGAGGTGTACCGCAATAGACCCATGCAGATGGCAGAGGCAAGGACGGGGAGGGGTGCAGAGGGAGGTGCGAGACGCAGGGCGATGCTGATCCAAGACGAGGACCCAACACCACAATATGGTTTAGAACAAGAATGCAGCAACACTTGTGCGCCCAGACCTGGCCAACTGGCTAGCAGGTTGGCTCGAGAAGTATCAGACGGATGTATAGACAACTCGCCAATATATCCTCCCTCGCCGTGGTACGCCCTCCCGCTCCTGATGGCGGTCAAGATGCAGCGTCCTGGTCCTAGCTAGCACCACCTTCCCGACCAATCCTCGGGTGCGTTCTAACCGAGGGTATCGAAGCGAATCCAACCTTCGAGAGGCGAGAAGCGTTCAAATCGCTCGCATCTCCCATCCCCTAACCTCCTCCCCCGTCCTCCTCCTCCTCCTCCTCCTCCTCCTCCTCCTCACTCCTCCCCCTCCCCCTCCTCCTCCTCCCCCTCCCCTCCTCCTCCTCCTCCCCCTCCTCCTCCTCCTCCTCCTCGTCCTGGCCAGTCGAATTGCAGCGGATCCTGGGACTGCTCTGCTTCGCCGCACTCCGTCCGCAGCTTCACGCGATCCTCGGAGAGGGCCGAGGGCCGAGGGCGTCAGAGGGACCAAAGGAGGCGGAGGGGAACCAAAACCAGACCGCGTGTCGCCGCGAAAAGAAGACGGCAGGCGCGTTTCCTTTCGGCCTCCAGGCAGAGAACTGCTGGGCCCCCGAAGAATGAACCCGCCGACAGAAAACAAACAGACACTGGGAAAGGGGCCGCGTCGAGAACAGACCACGACGTCGAAGTCTGGTAGGAGGCGTGGAAAGGAGATTTGCATTCCTATTTGTGTGTGTCACTGTGTATGTACAAGTACACATGTGCGCACACATGGCCATCGCTGTAGTCTTACTCATCGCACATACACGTGTGTGCACATGTTGGAATGCGTATGTAACAGTGTGTGGATTAAGAGCGAGTGGGCGAGTGAGGGAGAGATGGTGTGGAGAGGGGGAGGCAGAAGTACGGGGACGAAGAATGACACAACCATAACAAGTCGCTCGGACCTCCGAGATTACATGTTCACGCCATGCTTCGTCCCGCCAATACGTGGTGGGTGTACGAGCAAGATCACAGGCCGTCGGCTTGCACACAGGGGGGTCGGGCGAGGCAGGCGGCCTGCGGAGAGAGCACAGAAGCCTCCTCGTCTTCTCTCGGGGGCGTTCTTTCGGCGGCCCCTCGGGAGGGGGGCAGGACTCTTCGAGGAGGCCCCCCGCCTTCTCAGAAGGCGACCCCCCCCTTCGCCCCCCCGCCCGCGTCGGGGCGAACGACAGAGGTGGACTGGCCCGGGGGTGGGGGGACATCGATATCGCTTCTTGCCTTCTCAAGTGCAAACTTGGAGGCACCCGGGAAGGGGCAGGACTCTTCGAAAAAGCACCCTGCCTTGTTAAAAGGCGACCCCCCCACCTGACCCCCTCGGGGAGATCGAGAGAGGTGGAGTTGCTCGGCGATATCGCCGAGATGTTGGCGAGTTACCTTCGATAGCGAATCCGCACGTTCCTGGGCGGGATGTGCTATCGGGCCCCTGTCGGCGATGAATGGGCGATGGGGGGTCGATACATCCTTCCCCCCGTTATGGATGGTCTGCCCCTCCCCGCGGCGCCACCAAAGAAGAGGGCGTGAGAGCGGGGGCCAGAACCAGAGCAGCAGCAACAGTTGGGTTGTCGTTGGGGCCTGTATCTAAAACCACTACATGGCGGCCGACGCCCCTGTCCACGAATTCTGCCAACCTGCGGATTGTAGCCCTGAGCATGTAGCCAACGGCAACAGCACAAAAAAAGACTCATACCTCGATTGCATTGGCAAAACGTAGTTTGCCAGGCCATGACGAGGCAATCGGGCATCGTATAGCATTGGTATTGCATAGCATTGCACTTCATAGTGCACTCGAACATTGCCTTACAACCGCCAACGTGCCTCTGGGTACGGAGTGGGCGTGTCCTCAAGTCGTTTGCCTAATCCCTGTAGCCTTAGTCCTCAGAGTCGTAAGGGACCCGGACCCAAAATTCCCAAATTTACTAGGGGGTCCCGCATGTCCCCTTGGCTCCGGCGCATATTGTCGCATGATAATTTCAAGCATGAAAAGGGCCCAAGACGGGCCAAGAGGACCCAAGAGGCCCCGAAGACAGCCATAGAGGGCCCCAAGCCGCCGGAAGATCGGCCCAAGACGCCCAAGATAGCCCCCAGACCCACCCCCTTTCCAAACGCCCACAGAACGCGCTCCTTCGCATGTGTGTATGCGTGTATTTCTGTATGGACGCATGCATGCATGCATACATGCATGCATGTATGTATGAATGTATGATGGGTTGTATGTATGCAGGTATGTAGGTCGGTGTGTCTGTATGTTTGCACGTCTGTATGTATGCATGTATGCATGCCTGCATGCATGCATTCGTTATGTATGTCTATGTTTGTATGTGTGGATGTTCGTGTGTGTATGTGTGTAGTGTGTGTATGTATGTACGCAGGCATGCATGAATGTATGTATGTATACATGCATGCATGTACGTATGTGCGTTGGTGTGTATGCCTGTGCGTATGTATGTATGTACGCATGTACGTGTATATGTAAATATGAATATGAGCACATACGTATACATACATATATATATGTTCATATATATATATATATATATATATATATATATATGGGAGGCAAAGGAAGATGATGGGGGAGAGTGGGAACAAGAGAGAGTAGGTGAGTTTCAAGGGGGCCGGTAGACCCGACCAGAAGCTTCGCCCCAGGCGAAGCACAGCTCCAGCTCTGTTGTACCGTAGTCGCGATAGTCCCAGTAGTAGGTCGTCGCGGGGGCGACGGGCCATCTCAAACGAAAGATGTTTTCGGTCTCGATGGCGAATCGTGTGCCTCGCAATGAGACGCAGTCAAATGTCGGCGGCCGGCCGCTTGAACACAAACGGCCGCGGACAAACGCTCGTTATCTCTCGTCCTTGTCCCAGCTCACTTCAAAATCGAGGGGGAGGGAGACGAAACGTGAGTCCGCCGCCACTATATAGCAGATATAACAGATACTATGTACAAAAGGCAGCAAAAAGCGGGGCCAGAAGGAAGGCGGATCCGCAAGCAAGTTGCCTTGCAAGCGCATTGCTGTGCATGCGATTACTCCTCAGGCGGCCACAGACCAGGATGTTTGGCCAGCCCGATAAGGAGTATGACGCTTCAAGTCATGCTTGAAGATAGCGTTTCCCAGTCGACATTCTGTATATCCGAGTCGGTTTGAGCCACGTGTATCGACGCACCTCTGCCTCTCCCATCGCCCAGAGGGCATTCACGGCGAACATGTTGTGTGCTATGGCAGATGTCGCGTTCCATTGTGTTGCAGTTAGCGTCGTTCGGGTTGCCCCGACGTCCTTCACCTTTCCTGAAGTGCGCCTACGATTCCTGCACGCGCCCAGGAATAGTTCTTCAGATTGCGGTCGGGTAAGGGATGCCAGGAGAGCTAACTTACCTCTGCCATTCAGTCGCCGTCGTTTTCCCTTGCCCTTGCCTCGACCCTTACCCTTTCCCCTAAGTGCCCGTCGGATAGCGCGTCGTACCTTACGAACTGGTTTCTTCAAAAACCGTCTCCATTTACGTTTACGCTTCTGATATCCTAGAAACAGCCATTGAGCCTGTTGTTGTTCCGGAAGATACGTGGGCACGTCGGAGTAGGTCTAAGGCGTTCACTTCGTCGTCGGATGACGCGTCGGCGTCGGCTCCAGAGTCGTAGTCGGACTCAGCGGATTGCCACGTTGAGCCTACAAGGGTAGTGGCTTGTGCGGGGGCTGCTGTTGCCAGCGGTCACTGATACCTGGCCCAAGAGTCTTGCGACCCCGCGGCCGAACCACCATTTTGAGCTACTAGCGTGGTGGTGTCCGTTGGTTGTGGGTCGTCGTTCCAAACGTTCGTAGAAGGTTGCCCTCCGTTGGCTTCAGCATGGGAGGTTTCGGTACGGTGACCGTGGCTGAAGATACCACCAAGATTGCCAGAAGTTCGCTCTGCGATGTCGGTATATGACCTCATGCGCTCAAGCAGAGAATCAAATTGCTGCTCATCCCTCTGCGTTTGGTGGTTGAGTGCTGTAGGAATTGTTGTGCACGCGACGTCTCCATCCCTAAGGCTCTGAACAGGATAGCCGCTAGAATTTGGAAATTGGGGATGTGAAAGCCTGCCGTTTCAGCCTCATAGTGGGCTATCTCGGAGCGCGCCAATGTCTGGTCGATCCGTTCTCCCGCATGGGCTCGGGAGGCGATGAGACCAGTACCCGAGTTGAGTTGGCACTCCTCTTCTGAATTCTCAAACTTTGTGCTCCGGAGGAACATCATGTAGGTGACACAATCAGTATGGCGGCCACCTATGTTGACGCCAAAACTGATGACTGCTGGGGGAACTCTCATGGCTATGGTCCGTGCGAGGCCTCCCAGACCACGCTGCAATGCTGTAGCTTGCTGGGAGGGCGTCATATTGCCCGTGGTCACGTTGATCCAGGCATGTGCCTCTCGAGTGAATTCGCGGAAAAGGTACTTGACCGGCCGGGGGCCGGTTGTCCTTGTGTCGTCTCCGCCACGCATGTGTCCCACGGCGCACCCGATAGCAGCCCATAGGATACCAAAGATGGTAACACCAATCCAGTGGACCCGTAGGTCGTGGTCGGATGTGGTCGGCTGAGGTTTGTGGTGTTTTGTTGTAAGCCTGCGTAGGGGTGGAGGCGGCACAATATCGTATCGCATGTTTCCATGCATGGCATCTTCAAAAGAATTTCCAATTGGAGCAGGTGGGAGGACTTAAGGGGTGTAGTAGCGCAGGGATGTAGGACTCGAGAAGGAGGCCTCTGCGAGAGCAGAGGTAGCACTGCAAGTGTCCTTGCGGTTGCGCGTAGTTATGTACATTCCTCCGCGCAGACCCGCTGCACCCTGATGTTCCCCCATGTCAGTAATCCACCAGATAGCGCCGTGGATGGTGATGAGTAGAGCAGAGCTGACCACCATAGGCCAGCTCCGCTACCAAATTTGAAGGGGGCCGGTAGGCCCTACCAGAAGCTTCGCCACAGGCGAAGCACAGCTCCAGCTCTGTTGTACCGTAGTAACGATAGTCCCAGTAGTAGGAGGTCGTCGCGGGAGCAACGGGCCATCTCAAGCGAAGGATGTTTTCGGTCTCGATGGCGAATCGTGTGCACCGTAATGAGACACAGTCAGAAATCGGCGGCTGGCCGCTTGAGCACAAACGGCCGCGGACAGATGCTCGTTACCTCTCGCCCTTGTCCCAGCTCACTTTAGAGTAGGTGTAGTGTGGGGTGGCTGGGTGGCTGTTTCCCTGCGCCTCCACGACGCCTCAAGGGGCCTCCAAGAGGCCTCCAAAGAAGGCCTCAGGAGGCCGAACTCATTGATTTCCCCTGATCTCTTCCATGGTTTTCGGCCCACTCGTCTTTTCAGCTTACCGCAGTTCCAAGACGGCCCAAGAGGCCTCCAAGACCGCCCCAAGACGGCCCTGGGACGGCCCCCAAAGACCTCCAAACGGCTTCAAAGGCGCC